CATGCTAGATGCCCTGGGGGCCGCCAGAGTGGCGTCGCGCCGCCGCGAGGGGATTCCTGGAGAGGGTGTAGTGCATGCAAGCAGGTGCGGTGAGATCTCTCTTACGAAGGCCTTGCGGCCGGTGCCGCTGACCCTGACGAGGGACGACGACGACGACGACGGCGGCGGCGACGACGACGGCGACGACGAAAAACATTCAGTTATCTGGGCGAAGGACCCAACCGTATGCAGCTGCGAGTATCGCGAGGCAGGTGAGACGAAGTAGGGGGGCCACGAAGCGTGTGAGGGATGTACCGACATGGGTGCGGTGCCGCCATGCGGACGCTGCCACTGGGGCCTTCGGCGGAGCTCCCTTTGGGGCCACGAGACTTGTGAGGGGGGTGCCGAAGTGGATGGAGAACTGCATGCGCCCCCCCCTCCTGCGGGCTTCGGTGGAGCTCCCTGTGGGGCATGAAACGTAGGAGGGGTATGCCGAAGTGGGTGGAGAACTGCATGCGAACCTCCCCTCCTGAGGCTTCGGTAGAGCGTCCTGTGGGGACACGCACGTGTGAGGGGTGTGGAGAAACGCATGCAAAACCCCTCCCGGGGGCCCCGGTGGAACTCCCTATGAGGCTACGAAACGTGTGGGGTGTGTGGGGAACCACATGCAACATCCCCTCCTGTGGGCTTCAGTGGAGCTCCTGGTGGGGCCACACAAGGTGTGAGGGATTGAGAGAACCACATGCCAAAGCATGCAAAGTCCCCTCCTGAGGGCTTCGGTGAAGTTCCCTTTGAGGCCACGAAGCGCCTGAAGGGTGTGGAAAACCACACGCGAAACCCCCTCCAGGGGGCTTCGGTGGAGCACCTTATGGAGTAATGAAACGTGAGAGTGGTGCGCCGAAGTGCTTGATAAGAGGAGAGCAGGATGAGGAGGAGGAGGAGGAGGAGGAGGAGGAGCAGGAGGAGGAGGAGGAGGAGGAGGAGGAGGAGGAGGCGAGGAGAGGAGAGGATAGGAGAGGAGAGGAGAGCAGAGGAGAAGCGCGGCGCTGTCTCTTCAAAACGAGGACCCAACACGACAGGATGGTTGGGAATCATTTAAGGGCAATCATTGATTTTACCCTCTTGGGGATCGCGCTATCGCTCGAGACTTCCTTGCGATTCAGGCAGGACTCACGCTTCAACACCCGCCTGTTGTGATGTGCAGTGATGTGATGAAGAGTATGGGTTGGGGACAGCGCTTGAAGTTGCGGTGGAGGACTGATAACATGGATGAGGATGAGGATGAGGATGAGGATGAGGGCGATGGTAATGACGATGGTGACCACGATGTGCGGATGATGATTAAGAGGGGGAGGGTTCATTATGATGTTGTGGATGCGGGGAGAGAGTGATCCAACTGGCGATGCGGGGAAGGGAAAGAGCGACAGGTGGCTACGCAGCCCGCTATGCGCTCGCTCAGCTCGCACCGATATCCACATGTCGAGGAGCTGCCTGCGCTCACCATTCTCTTGATCTTTTGCTTCCAGCCGCTCTTGTCTATTTCGTCGGGGCTGAGATGTGTCAGCGAGCCGCGCGGATGGAGGATCTCAAGACCCGCTTGAAGGTTTCCGTAGCCATTTTGGCTCAAGCAATTTTGGCTCAAACCATTTTGGCTCAAGCCGTTGTGGCAAGAGCAATTGTGTTCCATGTGGTGCGAATAGGTGTGAGCCGGAAAACTTGTTCTGCCACCGTGCCGTACGCATAGTATTCCAATATTGCCAGGAGAATATATGCAAACAGCGAGAGTTTGTCCAGTACCAGTTTTATGAGGGTCATAACGTTCAAATCATTTCTCGCTTACGTAGCCAATTGATCAGGTCGGGTGGTTTCATTTGTCTACTCTGCCATTTGAACCCTTTTCCAAAATGACTTTCCATGTATTGCGTTTCTCCTGTCGGTCATGGCAGCTGCAATGCATCTCTCGATGGAGCTACTTGCAGCGCTTCCAGCATCTGTCGAACGCCAGCTTTGTAGCCCTTCCAGCAAGCGTTTTTTCTCACACTCTGTTTAGCATGGATGGCCTCCCCACTCTGGATGCGTATAGGGGTGCACCGCTGTCCACCTTGAGCCCGAGCATGAGAGGATTAGTTCTCCAAGATGTGGCCCGACTGGTCGATCATGACAGTAATCCCGGTTCCATGTTCGAAGATGCCATTCCTGGCGATTGCGTCAACGGCAGTCAACGGGGGTTGCCGCGGGCAGAATATGATTGGTCCCGGGACGGATTGCGAATAGAATGCAAGAGTAGCATGTTGGCGTGGATGGAAGGGCGTCAAAGTTGGGGGCTTTGTTTTTTCTGGTGTGAAGATAACGCGCAGCCCAGTAAGCAACCGATCCATGTTTGATGAATTATTGCTTGTCCTGTATACTCCACATGGCATTTATATTTGCAGGCACGCTGGGGAATTCGGAGTGAGTACCCATGGAAAGAGCACCGCGGTCCACGGGCATCAGATCAACATCATTGGCCCACGCAATGTTAGAGATCTGTCATCATCTCTTCGAGCTATTATCGGCAAGCTTGGTGATACTGGCTGCTCTGTGATCTGGACAATTCCTTTGCCAGACCATCGAGTCCATCTAGCGTTAAGTAGACGACCCAGTACTACGATGCACCACATTTTCCAAGGCGTCCCCTTAGCAGAGGCGAGTCCTAATGTACGAGCAATGAGGATTGAACAGGTTGTTCGATGCATTGACCATATCACACATCCAACGTCCATAATTTCAGACCCCTCTTGGCATTATGTCAACGGCCAGGGGGAATTTGATTGGTCTCGGGATGGCACTCGGGTCGAATGCAAAAGCGGGCAGCTGGCTTGGGATGCCTGTTCGGTTCGGTGGAAAGTGACTTTCAGCAATGTAAAGCTACACTTGTTTGACGAGCTGTATCTTGCGATGTACACACCGTGCGGGATACATGTGTTCAAGCATGATCGTCACTTTGCGTTGAGTTCTGGTGGCCGTAGAACAAGTGCATGTGGTTACCATATTCAAATCTACGGCCCATGTAAGGAATCTGATTGGAAGCCTGCAGTCGACGTGATTCTAAAGAAGCTGGGCTGGGCAATTCGGGTTGCGTGCAAATCGCCTACGTGCATTGGTGATCTGTTTCCTCTTTCCTCGGCACGCCTAAAGGGGGGCTCTTGCCCAACAAGCTCTTGATCGATACTTTGATGTTGCGTTTTTTTGTCAGGCCACATCGGTGCGCAAAACGTTTCAACATTTGTTCCGCAGCGTTCCGCATATACCACTTCGTGAGGAGCGTCGACATAAGACTGACAGGCGGCAGAGGTTGCCAGACGCGCTTCAGGGCAGGATGGCAAGGTTGCATTCGACGTGCCAGAAGTCCACCGCGTCACCAGGGCCCCCCTTTCATATGGCGTGATTTGGCATTTCTACATGTCAAGTCTTCAGTGGGATCCAGGAAATGACCCTGAGCGAGCGCAGCATCGGGCACACATTTGACCGCTCATTATGGGCACGAGGCTGATATGTTGTCGCCCCATGCCTCGCATAACAAGAACACAAGATGACCCCCCCCAAAAAACCGCTTGAAGGTTACAGGTCGTAGGCAGAAGGGATGGAAATAGAGAACAATCGGAGGAGCGAGGCAATTGAGGGCCAGTTAGGTTGAACTTTTCGTTGCAGAAGCTTGAAGCGTAACATTTGTCTCCAAGGTACCGTTCTTACGAGGTGCATGTTTCCTACATGTTCAATTTCGTCGTTCATGTGTCGGATCTTGGAGGGCTAGCGCCAGCACCTACGGTGGGTGGCGCTCAGGGGAGGAGGAGGAGGAGGAGGAGGAGGAGGAGGAGGAGGAGGAGGACAAGAGCAAACCCGACTGCATCGACGATGTCGATATGCACCTTCGCGTCCCAAGGCCCCCCCGCTCCTTTATCTTGCAAGCACTCTCTTTGTGCTTCGTTCGTCGAGCATCCCATCGAAAGATGGGCGTCCCAGTGGGTCTGCCATTCAATTGAGAGCCCCGTTTTGAAAAGTATCCAATTTTCAACTTTATATTTGCTACAGAACGCAAACAGGTAGGACCAGAAAGTTTAAGTGATTGTCCTGCGGGAGCCTTGTGGTGACAACGATCCGCTCTCCATGTGTGTGCAGCCGTCGTACACTTGTGAGGATGTCCCAAACGAGAAACGCGCGTGTAACACAATGAGCTTTCCATGAGTGTAACGGTTGGACGCTTTTCAGGCGTGACGTTGAGGCGCGAGCCGCACTTGGGAAGCCACCAGCCTTATGTCCATGAAACACTTGGTTTTTAGACGAAGGTGCGTGGCGCAAATGCCAGAGCAACATCCTGAAAATGAGCCGCCTGCCATCAGTATAACTTTCGGTCCTGCTGAAAACGGATTCGCGCTGCGCCACGTGGAGAGCCACATTTTGACAACGACCTCCCAAATAGCTGTTGGAAGCTTGATAAGACGTAGGTGGGCGATCTTTGGGCGATCGTCGCATTTTGAAAACGAGCAGCCCTCCATCCGTGTAACTGTTAGGTACTTCAGGCGTCAGGATCACATATGTTGGGGAAGTCTTAGGCGAACTGCCTGATCGCCCTATCGACACGCCTGGCGGTGCGAGGAGGAGTTGTTCGATTACGTAACTTATGGAAGAAGAGAAAGAACACAATATTTTGGCGGGCGTAGGTGATGAGAACGAGCCCCTCTCCACCGTCCATGTCCTGAGAGGCCCCACTCTTGCCACCTGTCGTGGCTCTGTCCATCGGAGCCATTGCTCGATCAAGCGACTATTGTGGTGAGGCTGTTCATAATGCTGATGGTGATGACGATGACGCCGGCCCTGCTGATTCTGATTGCGATGACAGTGATGATGATGATGATGATGATGATGATGATGATGATGATGATAATGATGATGATGATGATGATGATGAATATGATGATCATGCTGATGATACTGATGATGACGATGATGAAGATGATGATGATTATCATGATGAATATGATGAATCTGAAGATTATGCTGATGATGCTGATGATGATGCTGACGCTGATGATGATGAAGATGAGGCTGAGGATGATGATGACGAGAATGATGATGATAATGATGCTGCTGCTGATGATGGTGATGATGATGATGATGATGATGATGATGATGATGATGATGATGATGATGATACTGATGATGATGCTGATGATGATGATGATGATGATGATGATGATGATGATGATGGTGGTATTCTGATGATGGTGCCCCCTCCAGTTTCTGGGGATGAGGGGGTGGGGACCTTTTTCCCCCCCGGTTTCCCAAAGGGCGGTGTGTGTGTGTGTGGTTCCAGTCACGCGACGGTAGATCGCGCTCCCTCTGAGGATGAGGCTGCGGCTGATGATGCGGACGATGCTGCTGCTGCTGATGAGAATTTGGATGCTGTTGTTGTTGTTGTTGTTGTTGGTCTTGTTGTTGTTATTGTTCTTGTTGTTGTTGGTGTCGTTGCTGTCGTCGTCGTCGTCGTCGTTGTTGTTGTCGTTGTTGTTGTTGTTGTTGTCGTTGTTGTCGTTGTTGTTGTTGTTGTTGTTGTTGTTGTTGTTGTTGTTGTTGTTGTTGAACATTATTACTTCTAAAGAATAATTATTGTTGGGACCCCTGGTGCACGACCCCCCCGCCGCGCCTAGGCCGCAGCCTCATTTTCATCATTTTCGTGAGGAAGTCTCAGGCAAAACGGGGGAGTCCGGATCCGGTTGTGTTGTTACGATCGGTTTTCCCTTGCAAAAAATAAGCTAAAGTGGACATTTCTTGTTCTAACATAACCAAACTTCAAGAATCCCTTGCAAAAAATAAGGTAAAGTGGACATTCGCGCGCGCAAGACGAAATCCTTCCAAAACCTTAGTTTTCGTAGCGATTTTAACATAAAAACATCAAAAAACCAATGGTTTTTCAAAAAAAAATGTCAAAATTTCATCCCGCGCGCTCTTGCGGATTCGTAGGAAACCCAACACTTTTTAATCATTTCCTGTCAAACGGGCTTTTGCGAGCAACTTTTTCGAACTTCTGCAACAACGGTTGCGCACCTGCCAGGGCCATCATCCCTGTCAAATAATACCATGCGGGACACATTCGTTTTTTCTTCGCGCGCGCACGCCGTCGTCGTCGGCCGCGGGGCCCTGAATAGTAGCCACGGTCGTCCGCATGCCACGAAGTGAAGTGTCCGAACGTCATAGGGCGGGAAGCTGGGTGTGGGTGGTGGCGAAGAGTCGTTTGGAAATTTGGTAGAGCTTGAACCGGCCCCCCCACAAAGTGGGGGTATTGCCCGCCTCCTATGAAAACCCTGGCACTGGTGAGAACGGTGTGTCCCCACGTGCTAGTAATTGTTGTTGTTGTTGTTGTTGTTGTTGTTGTTGTTGTTGTTGTTGTTGTTGTTGTTGTTGTTGTTGTTGCTGTAGTTGATGCTGCTGTTGATGCTGCTGCTGCTGCTGCTGCTGTTGTTGTTGTCGTTGCTGTTGTTGTTGTGGTTGTTGTTGTTGTTGTTGTTGTTGTTGTTGTTGTTGTTGTTGTTGTTGTTGTCGTTGTTGTCGTCGTTGTTGTTGCTACTGCTGCTGCTGCTGTTGTCGTTGCTGCTGTTTCTCAAACATGATTCTTTTTGATCCCCCGCTCCCCCCCCTCCGGTTAGCTATTTTTCCCAACCCTCAATGGTTGGGTATTCGCTTTGACTAGAGCACCGCGGTCGCGTTTTTCTCCTCCCGCCGCCTCCTGCCTTCCGTCTCCCGCCCCCCCTCCTTCTTGTCTCCTCTTGCCTTGCCTGGGGGGCTGCGATCTGCGAAACTATCGCCACTCTCGAGGGCTGCTGGTGGGTCCAGCGGAGTGAGGCACCGCGCGGACCTGAGCGGTAGCTCGCCGTCCTTGGGGGGCTGCGTTCTTCGAAATTGTCGCCACTTTCGAGGGCTGCTGGTGGGTCCAGCGGAGTGAGGCACCGTGCGGATCTGAGCGGTAGCTCGCCTTCCCTGGGGGGCTGCGTTCTTCGAAATTGTCGCCGCTTTCGAGGGCTGCTGGTGGGTCCAGCGGAGTGAGGCACCGCGCGGATCTGAGCGGTAGCTCGCCTTCCCTGGGGGGTTGCGACCTGCGAAATTGTCGCCGCTTTCGAGGGCTGCTGGTGGGTCCAGCGGAGTGAGGCACCGCGCGGATCTGAGCGGTAGCTCGCCGTCCCTGGGGGACTGCGATCTGCGAAATTGTCGCTACTTTCGAGGGCTGCTGGTGGGTCCAGCGGAGTGGGGCACCGTGCGGATCTGAGCGGTAGCTCGTCGTCTCTGGGGGACTGCGACCTGCGAAGTTGTCGCCGCTTTCGAGTGCTGCTGGTGGGTCCAGCGGAGTGAGGCACTGCGCGGATCTGAGCGGTAGCTCGCCGTCTCTGGGGGGCTGCGATCTGCGAAATTTTCGCCACTTTCGAGGGCTGCTGGTGGGTCCAGCGAATTGAGGCACCGTGCGGATCTGAACGGTAGCTCGCCGTCCCTCGGGGGCTGCGATTTGCGAAACTTTTGCCACTATCGAGGGCTGCTGGTGGGCTATCCACTTTCGAGGGCTGCTGGTGGGTCCAGCGGAGTGAGGCACTGCGCAGACCTGAGCGGGTCCTCGCCGTCTTTGGGGGGCCATGTCATGTTGTTGCTGCCCCCCCGACGTATCAAGCTCCTTGCCCACCGTCTCCTTTTGGACCTTGCGTCTTCCTTAGTGACTCAGGGGTTCACTTGGTTACTCATCGTGTTTCCCTTGATTGGGGACCTGCGAACCTTCCGAACACCGCTCGCAGAAGTATATACGTCCATGTCACGTGGCCGCCTTCTCGTCAAATCTCCCAAGCTACTCCTGCCCCGCATTGCGCAGGGGTTGGGTACGTCGCCAGGGTAATTTTCCCATGCGCGGTGGCGAGGTTGACCACGAGGAGGAGGAGGAGGATGAGGATGAGGATGAGGAGGATGAGGAGGGGGGAGGGGGAGGAAGAGGAGGAGGAGGCGGGGGCAGTAGAGGCAGGAGGAGGCGAAGAAGGAAACGCACTTGGATGATGATAAGCAGGAGCCATGATTGGTGCTCGCTCTACGCAGGATGAGCCCAGCGGGCCGCCCCAGCCTCCGGCGAATCTGTACACCAGCAAGCCAGAGGACATCATCGGCCTCCCTCTCGCCTTGGGCTCCATGAGGGAGAAGGATGAAGCGGATGAGGGTGATGATGATGCTGACGAGGATGATGATGCTGTTGCTGATGAGGATGATGCTGCTGCTGATGAGGATGCTGCTGCTGATGATGCTGATGATGGTGATTATGATGTTGATGATACTGATGATGACGATGATGATAGTGATGCTGTTTATGCTGTTGATGCTGATGATGCTGATGAGAATGCTGATGCTGATGCTGATGCTGCTGATGATGTTGATGACGATGCTGCTGATGATGATGACGATGATTATGCTGATTCTGATGATTATGCTGATGATACTGATGCTGCTGATGAGGACGCTGATGCTGATACTGATGTTGCTGATGTTGTTGACGACGATGCTGTTGATGATGATGCTGCTGATGATGATGATGCTGATTATGATGATAAGTCTGATGATGATAATGATGCTGCTGATGATGATGCTGCTGATGATGCTGATTATTATGACGTATGAGGATGCTGCTGCTGATGATGATAATGATGATGAGGAGGAGGAGGAGGAAACGGAGGAGGAGGGGGAGAGGTAAAGGGAGGAGGAGGATCAGGAAGACGACCAGTGTACACCCAAGACGCGTAAACGATGTTTCACTACACCCTCCTAAGTTTCTTCTTGGTAGGTCCCTATAAGTAAAATCGTTGGTGGAGGTGCCCCATTCGAGGACAACCGTCTGAGAATCCCGAGCCGTGCCAAAACAGCGTGCCTGGGATTTCAATGCCGCAGACGATTCTAAATCGTGCCACAACACCGCTCCTGGAACTTCAACATCGCGAATCGACGCGACTGTCGCGTCCTGCCAATCTTAAATTGTCCAGGAGCAGCAGGAGGAGGAGGAGGAGAAGGAGGAGGACAGGGGGGAGGAGGGAGGAGGGAGGAGGGAGGAGGAAGGAGGAGGGAGGGAGTGAGGGAGAGAGGAAGGAAGGATGAGGGTGGGAGTGAGGATGGAGGGAGGAGGAGGGAAGGAGGAGTGAGGGGGGAGGTGGGAGGAGGGGGGAGGGAGGAAGCAGGAGGGGAGAGGAAGGATGGAGGAGGGATGAGGGATGAGGAAGGAGGAAGGAGTATGCAGGGAGGAGGGAGCAGGAAGCAGGGAGCAGGGAGCTGGGAGCAGGTGGCAGGGATCAGGGAGCAGGGGAGGCGGAGGCGGAGGCGGAGGCGGATGCGCAGCGCGAGGGGAAGGGTTTGGTGGAGGTCGAGGGGGAGTGGGATGGGGGACCTGCTGGCGTGGTGGCCGGCGACCGGCAAGCACTCTCATCGACGTCACAGTCCGCTCCCCATGCACAACTGGTTGGGCGACGTCGGCTGCAAACCGGGCGCGTTGGCCGTCGCCAGCGAGCACGGCAGGGTCACGCGCTACGGCCCCGCCGCCCTGCTCTTCGCGATCGAGCAGTTCGGCCAGCTCGGCGCAGTCGCCAGGCAGACGCTTTCCTTCGCACAGCTCAACACAAGGGCCCTTGTCTGAGACCAACAAACAGTTACAGACAGCATGCTTGCATGAGGACCGCATATGGTCTCATATCCCCAACAGCTCAACTGCATTGAATACGCAGAAGGAGTGTCAGATCCTTCTCCTGGGGCCATCTTGAGTCTCTCTTGGGGCCCCCTTGGGCCCTCTTGGAGCTATCTTGAGGCCTCGGGGTCCTCTCGGAAGCGAAAGCGCGAGAGGGCCAAGATCATTGAGGTTCCTTCGATTTTCGACGGATGTGGCCTACTGGGAGTGTCTCGGGAAGGCCCCCAGCACATTTGGACCCGTCTTGTATTTTGTTTGGGATCTATTGGAACATGTTGGAACGCCATCTTTGGCGATCCTGCATTATCCTGGGCCATATTTGAGGTCATCTTAGGCCCTCGGAAGCCCATTTGCAGCCGCGATGGGTCCACCAGCGCACCACCAGCGCACCACCACCCACCGACCCCATCCCCTTCAGAGCCAGGGGTTGGGGGTAGGGGAAGGGGAAAGCCCCTCCCTGAAGGGAATACTGGGGTTGGAAGAGGGAAGGCTCTAAACTCACGCCCTCAAAGGACTGGTGGGATTTAGGAGGACGCTCGATGGAGTTTCGGGAGGGGGGGATACGATGATGATGATGCTGCTGATGATGATGCTGATGATGGTGACGGTGGTGATGACGATGAAGATGATGATGCTGATGCTGATGCTGACTATGATGCTGCTGCTGCTGGTGCTGATGCTGATGATGATGATGATGATGATGATGATGCCGATGCCGTTGATGACGATGCTGATGACGATGCAGATGACCAGGGTTAGGATGAGGATGGTGATGACGAGTATGAATAGGATCGTGATGATGATGTTGATGCTGATTATGAGGATGATACTTGCGATTATGATGATGATGATAACGATGATGGTGTTGATCGTGATGACGATGATGATGATCATGATGACGATGACGATGCGGATGATCATGGCGGATGGTGATGATGATTATGATGCTGATGATGACGATGATGCGGATGATGATGATGACGACGATGATGATGAGGAGGATGAGAAGGAGAAGGAGGAGGAGTTGGAGGAAGACGATGAAGAAAATGAGGAGGAGGACGAGGAAACCGAGGAAGATGGGGACGAGGGTCAGGAGGGATCAGGAGGAGGGCGAGGGGTTGGGATAGGCGGAGCAGGATCGGGCCCATTCTCCTGCTGCTCCTCCACCCTTTCCTCGTTGTTGTCGCTCTCCTATTCTTTCTGCTCCTAATCCTCCCTCTCCCCCTTCGGATGGATTCCCCGGCCTTCAGCATCACCCCTGTCCCATGGCGTTGCGGATTATTTTCTACATTCCCAGATGATGCCGCTGGAGTTGTGGAGCCCTGCTACGGTTTCGGACGTGCGTCAGATCGTCCACATTCGTTGCCGCCCCCCGTGGCAAGTCTATTCCCCTCCGCATTCTCTCCCTCCCCCCCTCCTTCCTTTAGGAAGCGTGGAAGGGGGAGGGAGGGCGGGAGGGAGGGGGAGGGGGGCATGATAGTGCTGATGATGATGATGATCATAATCAAGAAGATGAATATGATGATGCTGATGATGATGCTGATGATGATGATGATGATGATGATGATGATGCTGATGCTGATGATGCTGATGCTGATGCTGATGCTGATGATGATGATGATGATGATGATGATGATGATGATGATGATGATGATGATGATGATGATGATGATAGTACGGATGATGATGATCTGGTTTTTGCTGCTACTGCTGCTGCTTGTGATGATGATAATGGTGATTATGATTATGGTGACGACGGTGGTGTCGGTCATGATGAGGGTGATGATGCTGATGCGGATCACCATAGCGATGCCGATGGATTGTGGTGTTGTGGATGGTAAGGGCGCGGATTTCGGTGATGATGGCGCTGATCTGGTGATGACTGTTGATGATGGTGGTGCTGGTGATGTTGAGGATGATGCTGACGCTGCTGATGATGCTGATGATGATGAGGATGCTGATCATGATCCTGGTGCTCATGCTGAGTATGATTGTGATTATGCTCAGGATGCGGATGCTGGTTTTGATGATGATGATGATGATGACGCTACTGCTGCTGCGGCGACTGCTGCTGCTGCTGATGATGATGCTGGTGATGGGGTCGATGATGTGGATGCTGCTGCTGATGACGTTGGCGATGATGCTGATGACGATGTTGGTGACGATGACGATGACGATGCCGATGATGACGATGACAATGATGATGATAATGGTGATGATGACGATGATGATCAGGCTGTTGATGATGATAATGGTGATGATGTTGATGATGAAGGTGATGATGCTGATGATGAATATGATGGTGATGACGATGATAATGACTATGGCGCTGATGATGCTGATGCTGCTGATGCTGCTGATGAGGATGACGGCGATGATGATGTTGATGCTGCTGTTGATGATGATGATAACGACGATGAAGATGACGGTGATGATGATGCTGATGGTGATGCTGATGCTGATGCTGCTGCTGATGCTGATGAGGGCGAATCTGACGATACTAATAATGGTGATGATGCTGGTGACTATGCAGCTGCTGCTGCTGCCGCTGATGATGATGATGATGATGGTGGTGGTGATGATAATGCTGACGCTGATGATGATGGTGATGGTGATTGTGATGATGATGATGACGATGATGATGATGATGACGATGATGATGATGCAGACGATGATGAAGATGAGGATGAGGATGAGGATGAGGATGAGGATGAGGATGATGATGATGATGATGATGATGATGATGATGATGATGATGATGATGATGATGATGATGATGATGATGATGATGATGATGATGAATGTGGTGGTTGTGATGATGTAGATGATGATGATGGTGGTGGTTGTGGTGATTCTAGTTCTGATGCGCTGTTGCTGTTGCTGCTGCTGCTGCTGCTGCTGCTGCTGGTGCTGCTGCTGCTGCTGCTGCTGATGATGATGGTGGTGGTGGTGGTGGTGGTGATGATGATGATGATGATGATGATGATGATGATGATGATGATGATGATGATGCTGTTGATGATGCTGGAGGAGGAGGAGGAGGAGGAGGACTAGAATGGCACGAAAGAACAGGGATTAGGTTCGGGGGCGGACGGGGGAGGGGGGAGGGACATGAACAGGGAGCGGGAGGACGGCGAGGAAGGGGTCCGGAAGGGATGGGGGACGGCGGCGGGGAGTATTCTTCCTCCGCTTCCCTACTCCCTCATCCCTCCCCCTCTCTCATGGCGCAGGAGATTCAGGCAGCTCATGCAACATTTGCCTGGGCCAGCTGCCTCCACTCTTGGAGGCCTGGTCCTGCCAGCCTGGGCTGTATCAGCTCGCCCAGCTAGACCACATTTGCAGGCCAGCTTGCTGGGCTCTTCACTGGTCCCCCAGAGAGGGGATCACTCGGGAGGTTGATGTTGAAACAACCCTTTCTCTCCCTCCGTGTGCCTGCCTCCTCCTCCTTCTCCTCGTCGTCCTCCTCCCCCCCCTCCCCCTCCTCCTCTTCCTCCTCCTCCTCCTCCTCCTCCTCCTCCTCCTCCTCTTCCTCCTCCCCCTCCTCCTCCCTCCCTCCTGCTGCTTGCCCTTCTTCTCGGGCTCGCGGACGTGCGAGCGCGGGAGGACCTCCTCTCGACGCTGCACGGCCACGTCAAGCGCGCCGTCACGTCCGCGCTGCCGCAGCGGGCGGCGGACGGGGACGACGGCGAGGGCGGGTCGCAGGACCAGGGGGACTGCGAGGAGGGGGATTGGGAATTGGTATAGGAATGGGTATAGGAATGGGAATATGAATGGGAACGCGAACAGGAATAGGAACAGGAATAGGAATGAGAACAGCTGAAGGACGATGCCACATCCAAGCAAGCCTCTCCCCATGCGCGCCACGGACACCACGACGTTGAGACCGAGCGCCACGAAGAAGAACCCAGGAACACTCCAAGACAAAACGGCTGTTTACCTTACCCATCGGTCGTTGAAAGTAGTTATTTTTGGGTTCCAGATTCTACTTTAAGCGCCTTCCTACTTCAATGATCGAGTGGCTTCACCTTTTCCGTCCTATTTATGGGGCGGGCGGACACCCAATCTGATTTCAACGCCTTCCTACTGCATATTTCTACTTAATTCTTCCGACCGATGGGTATTGCGCAACCAGCGCCCCAGGGAAAGGTGAGGTATGTCGCGTTTGTGACGCCCTCGGCAACGCTCATGTTCCTCCAGCCGAGCAGGCCCGACAGCAGAGTGAAAGACAACACAGATACACACAAAAGGCAGCACTGCCGAGGCTGTGATGTAAGTAGGCGGGGCGAGCCACATGCCAGCTCGAAGACACCACGATCTCGGACGGCGCGCATTGCGGGCGACGAAGAGAGCGACAAATCTGAGCACCGATTGCCCACCTGCAGGACGAACGCCCGGAGCCACGCGACACGGTCACTGGTGTGGGCACTCTGCGCCCGCGGGAGGCATGGCAGGCGTGATGGCACTCCAGGCGATCCGCGGCCCCGTCGCCGCCGCGGTCCGCCGCGCTCCCCGAGCTGCCCGCGCGCCGCGCTGCCCTCCGAGCCCGCCGCGGCGGCCAGCGGCTGGGCAGTCATCCCCCGAATAAGCCCTGGGCCCGCGCCGTCGGCGCCAGCAGCTGGCCCGTCCCGCGGCACGGCAGCGGTGCCATCCCCGCGCTCCAGACGAACGCCCTCCCCACAGGCAGGCGCCTCGAGGGCCCGGGAGGTGCGTTTACTGGCTCGTCGCCCCCTCCCCCCGCTTGTCGCAAAAATTGGAGCATATACATTACCAGTGGCGCGCCGTTTTTCAATCCCAGGGTTTCTTGAGGGTCGGGGACGACGTCGGGGCGGTGTGGTGTATACTTTCTTCTCCGTCTTCCTGGGGGAACAGCGAAAAATATACACATCGCGATCCCGTATACACTAGAATCCGCTTTCCTGTGCAACCGTCAGTGCAGTGCGGGAAACAGCGTCGGTGTATAGAGTTCGGTTCCCTACGCTGCCCCCCCTGACGGGACTCGGTTCCTGGGGGAGGGGGGCCACGTGGAGGGGGGCGGCCAAATGTCTCTTACGCCTCTTTACCCTGTGCAGGTAGGGGCTGGTGGAACATCTACCTGGTGTTGCATCGCTTTGATGGGTCTCGTTTATTCTAATGTACGTTTCCTCTTGGCGTGAAGATGCAAGGGGTGCGTGGATGGGCCGAGGGGTCCCCGCCGCAACCCGAAAGGACATACTCGCGACGATGCGCGGCCACGCGGCGACCATTCATGGCCACGCCACGACGCTGCACGGCCACGTCATGCGCGCGTTCCC